GCACGTGTGATCAGCATGGCTATTCCACATCAAGACAAGCACACTTCTCCACGTAGACCGTAGACGTCCAGGATTCTCGTGGTCCAGCGTCGTCTACCCTTGACATGCTGCCATAACAAACGCCCTATTCCATGTGACAGCATTGACTGCTGCCTTGCCAATGACACATTTGCACGACCCTACGACCTGAGAATCGCCTCGATGGCGCAATTAGTCACAAGGACATTGTGCCGCAGCTCGGTGGACGCGGGCTGCAGCCTTCCAGAATACATGCGGAATGATCTCATTGACTTCGGTTGGCGGTCAGAATGAGGGAATGGTGCCATGAGGAAGTTGAGATTTGCATGCAAACGGTGCAGCCATTCGTCTTTCTACTTTTTTTCATTAGAGGCAGATGTTCTTTATACATGAATAATATAGGCTCATTGACAAGGTATAAGGGTTTAAAAGCATAGATTGAATGGGTTTCTACTCAGAAAAAGCAAGGAAATAATCGAGCAAGAACGTTGTTCTTCGAAGCTGAACCAGGGTTAGCTGAGAGGCATTGAAAGAGACTAGCGATATATAAGGAAAATCGAGTGATGCAATCCGCAATGATGAATATCACGGGATAGGAGATAGCTATCAAAGGTCAGCGTAGCTGATAATCTTCACCATCTCGCTCCACCTCTTCGATGAAGCCCATTGCATGCATCATATCGCCGAGCAAGCCGTGGTCTCTAGGGCTCTGGATGACACGCTGTGTAATCTCAAAATCCATCTCGGACGTGTCTAGACCAGCCTGGTGGCGAGCTTGGCGTTGCGAGAACAATTCCCGAGTGGTTAAGTGAGGGAAATGTTCTCCATACTCTTCTAGGGCGCATAGACGTCGATAATACAATCCCCGTTGGTAGTTCGAGTCACCCAGAGCAGGGTTATCAGAATCCACGGAATAATTGGGCGTACTGTCACAGTACTCGTCTGGAAGGGAAATTTCGCGCAGGCGGCGGAACGGGCGAAAGTCCTCCCGGTGTTGTTCTCGACTCTCCATGGTTGTACAACCTGTAGCGTAGAGTGTCTCTAAGTATTCTGGTCGACCTTCTGTGAGTTCTTCATATGCGTCGTCGAAGACGGGTGCAGCCGCAAAGTTGGATGTGCGAGAAGAAATTGGCATTCTCGATCTCGACGAGATCGTAATATCAAAAGCATCCATTAACCAGTCTGGTATAACGATGTCTGATCCAGAGGTACCGGAAATACCCGGCTCGGTGTCGTCTTGTGTGACTCCATCTCTCTGAGCAGCTCCAAGCACAATAGTGACCCCACCCGTATCCGTTTGAACCTCGGCCACAGCTACTTCCTCAGATGCGTCCATATTGTCGTCCTCACTGTCGTCTACTGAATCTGCAACAGAGGGCAATGGTGCATTTGGTCGTGCATCATCAAGCATAAAGCGCAACAGAGAACGGACCATAGCAGCACATTCACCTACATCAGGCAAGTTCTGGTCACCAGAGAGCACTGTACGCAAGGTATCATTGAACAATCTCACATCCCCAATAGAGGGTGGGTAAGAAAAACAATAAAAATCGCGCAGGTAGTGCCAAACGGCGGCGCGGAACTCATCGGAAACATGAAGATACATGTCTGGCCCATCGATGGGTAGCGCGGAAAGCTGGGCAGAAGATTGGTCAAAGACATCTAGGATTCCTTCGCTATCCACATTCTCGTCGAGATGAGCGGCAGCAGCCGCAACAAGGGCACGGGATGCTTCATCCATGTCAGTTTTGATCTCCTTTCCGGTTGATGAAAGGCTTGTAGGTGACTCAGAGTTAGGTTTAGATCGGTAGGGTATGATATATGCTCAACGTATTCTTCCATATAACAAGAGGATATTGTTCTTTACAATGGTGTACGTTATTACTATAGGACGTGCTGTTCGTTCAGAATTTTAGACCATGACTGAACAATGCAACACTCAGGGTCAGAACGTTGATGAAGCTCGAGAAATCATAAGAGAATCCATTATGGCAAACGTCTCAAAGTCGCCTATCAAACGCCACATTCTTTCCCCACATGTATCTTGTGTTTCCATCGTAATATCATCTCTTTGCTTTGGCTTCATCTACAATAGCAATAGCTAGAACCCAGAGTGGTAAGCACATAGATGGAAGAAGGCGAAGGCCTTTTCACCGTCAAGTATACCTACCCGCCCGCCCTAATGATATAATTCACCACAAAACGTTTTTAACGTCACTTTTTAAGGTCAGGAAGGCTAGAGTTTGAGCGATACCCTGGCCGTTGTGGACATAGTGCGGCAATAGTACTGGCGAAGCGAAGAGCATGCTATTAATGCGGCGAAGTACGGTGGGTGTCCGGGAAGCTGGTCACTTTAGCTATTGCCGGATGCTGCATAGGTCAGTATATTACCCTAACGTAGATTTGGTCTTCATAAAGTATTGTAAACTACAAGGTGTGGCGTTCATGCTCTCGTTCACCGGCAGTCCGCTCCAAACGCGTTGCTAGAATTCACTTCACCTCGCGTTCCCTATGTGAAGAGCGCGCAGTGAATCGAGAACGCGTCGTTGACGCGTGCTCTTAAATGGGCGTTACTTGAAACCCGCATCACCTCTGCTTTTCTTCGATCTTCTGCACTCCTACTCTGTATTATCTCTTGCTGTTCAGCTGCGCCTGCTGGGCACCCTCTGATCTTCCTCGGATACAACAAAAATCATGTCTTTCAGTAACGATGACGTGTTCCCCTCTGACGGCCTTGGGAGCTTCGGCGATAGCTCGAATCACCCCACAGCTCCCTCCCAGGCTCTCTACGAGCTCGCAACCCATCCCCCGTACCAAGTCACACCTCAACTTTCTCAAGTCCCACCTCAGTCTCCATACCAAATCGAACCTCTGTTTCCTCAGGTTGCAGCTCAATCGCCGTACGCTCGCTTGTATGCCGACGTTGTGTGTGACCTCGACAGTCCGTTCGCCAACTTTCTGAAGAGCGTCCATGGTGTCTCTGGAACTTCGACTGTCAAGACTGGCTCTACGCTTGGCCTTGGAGCTTATCCTACTATCGCTGAAGCTAGTTAGTTCACCGACCGTCATTATTTGGAGAAGAGTAGCTAATTGATTGTATCAGATGCAACAACAGCCCTTCATATGCTCTCGCAGGAGTCCAGCCACCCTTTCTTCCAAGATGATTGGGCGCGTGCACTTACTTATCGTTACCATCCGCTCGATGAGGCTACGGCTACACAACGCGCTGACTCTACCATTGTCGAGATCATTGAGAGTGCTGAGGAATGCATTGGGCGCCTTTACAACGCTATGCTGAATGTCGAGAGCGTCCACAATAAACCCACTAGTATCGAACTGGAAATGTTCAAGTCGCCACGGCTTGACAAGAAGGCCGTCGAGGCTGCCTGCCGGTCTATTTTGGTAAGTCGTCCAACCAGCAGGGGAAGAACTTGGAGACTGTCATTGCTTGTATTGTGTATCCTTTGACTGCTTGTATCATATTGCGTTACCAAGATATTATAGCCTCACGGTGCCTCATGTTGCTAATTTTAGACAGACTGCTCTCATTCATCGCTGTGTCGTGGGCTTTTGTGGTCTGCGAACCAGCGCCAACCCCTCCCGCGAGGACAAGAAGCTCACCTGCAAGGAGCGTCTGACTGCTGTCATATCTGCGCTCAAGGTGATGCAGGTTATTGTATATACTCATCGTAGATCTAACGCATCGCAGTTCGACAAGCGTATCTGCAAGGACGTGATGACCGAGGATTCCAAGATCAACTTCCTCGTGCACGGCCCGCTTGCCGTCACCAAGGTATAATATGGTGCCTCGCCCATCATAATTTCTACTCACATATCATAGTGCAAGCAGAGCCAAGAAAAGGGGAATGACGTGAAGCGAGGCCTTCTCTCCGCAGGTGCTGCTGCCCGTCGCAATAGGGTTTCTGAGCCGTCTTCAATTGGAGAGTCACACGAAGGCTCTGCTGGATCATCGTCGAGTCCTGCGGCTAACTCTTTCAGCCACTTAGTGGCTGAACCCACTGCGGGTCTATTCAAAGGTATGTATTTGTATCCCGCACTGCCTTCCACCCCCGACGACACGATGGCAACCTCTGTCAAAGAAGAGGCTGAAGATGGCCCCCCTGTCTATGTTGGGACCAGGTCTCTCTTCGACGGTCTGCCCCGCAGGATCCCCAGGCCCAGATGCGTCGAAACGGGGGGCGATGATGAAGCAGCCGACGATGTCACCAAGTCCAGGAAGAAGCTGAAGGCTATGTTCGGCTAGACACGCATTCCTATGTGTCGCTTCCTCTCGAAGGAGGTGGTTTGGATTTGGGAGATTGAATCAAGATCCAGAGCATCGTTTCAAAGCTCACTTGCTGGTACTTGTTGATGGCTCTAGGTGGCACGAGATGTTTGCAGGATAGAGAAAATTCCAATTTGGGTATTCATCAAGCTGTGCTTAGTTAGTGCTAAGTAAGATCTGAACACAAACAGGACTGACTTTTTGTCCTTGTCTCTGGTGTTATTATTTGTGCTCCCCAGTATCAGCTGACGAAGTTCCCTGTGATGTTTGCCTCGCCCGAATTTACGCTACGTGAGGCATTGCATGAAATCCTACAGCATCGTCGCGGCGCGAACGAATCTTTTCGATTAACAAAAGAATAAACGGTGAGACCTTACCCACCAATACCATGCCAAAGAGCCACGGATTAGTAGCGATCGTTGTTGTAAATTTGAAGCACTTGAGGTGAGAAGATCCCCCGCCCCCCTGGCGCCCTCCGTCATCGGACTTCCCAACCCCTCTTCCGCCCCACCAATTCGCCCCACCCACCCTTCAAACCCTTCCGAAGCGCGACAGCCACTGAGTCATCACTCTTGTTAACTGCAAAGCCTCAGCCTTCCACCCACGACCCGGCTCAGGGTCTCTGCTTAGATATTATCGTCTATATCTATTTTACATCTTTGAAAATGCTTCAACTTCCAGCATCAGAAGCATAACTGGTTGTGTAGTGTAGTGGTGATCACTCCGGATTTTGATTAGCATTGAATCGCATTCCGGCAACCCCGGTTCGAGCCCGGGCACGACCTTTCTTTTGCTTTTCTCCGTAAAGGTTGCTTGTTTTTTCATGTGGGCGTTGGGGGTGTCTATTTTTGCGTGGGTCGAGGGGTGCTGGGGGTTAGTGCGACGTACATGTCGAAAAATGATAACTATCCTTTTGAGCATCAATTAGATCAGGTGTGCTGGGTGAATTTTTTACTGGTAGAACGCTGCATTCGTTGGAATGTGCTTTGCAAGTGTATATTCAGGACAGTGAGTGCACTCTACGTGGGGCCGCAAAAGACGAAGCCGATAGATGAATGTGCTGTGATGAAACACGTGCTACATCTGCCCAGCCTGCTGTGCTTGCTTGATTGCGAACCACATACCTAGCGCAGCCAGGCCACCCATCAGCGCAACCGCAGCCAGCACCGCTGCGAAGGGGGTGACGGGTGGACGGGGTTTCTTTGCCATGCCCAATATCTCCGACTCCAGACTCTCGGCCATCTTCTCCTTTGAAAACAGCGATTCCACCCTCTCCTTGCCCCGCTTGCCCATTTCCTTAAGGCTCTGCTCGCCTTGGCCGTCTTCAAGTGCAATGCGCATGACATCCGTCCAATCCTGCACCTTTGTGACATCCCGAAGCCAGCCTGTCTCCCCATCTACAACAGTCTCGGTTGGGCCGCCCTCATTCGCTGCGAGAACCGGTGTTTCCGCTAGCATGGCCTCGAGCGGGACAATGCCGAAATGCTCGTGGAGTGGCGTATATACTAACAACCGTGATGTAGCGAGAAGAGTAGTCTTGAAAGCGGTCGGTACAGAGTGGAAAAAAAGAACGGCAATGTCGTCGGGAACACGCTGGGCGGTGATGACGGTCTTTGCGGTCGCGTGTTTGAGTTTCAACGAGTCAGAGAGGTCGCATAGCTCATTGTACGTCGAGACATTCTCTGCGACCCGCGGATCATAGCCGCCTGCAATTATAAGCCTCGCGCTCTTGCGCTCCCGTATCGGCAATCCCGCGAATGCCTTGATGGCGAGCGCAACATCCTTCTTCTGCTCAAAGCGGTTTATACTCAGCAGGACTTTCTTGTCCTTCCAAAGAGGAACATTCTCTTCTACCGCGTCTCCGGGCTTAGTGTCAACGCAGGGGTACACGACGCCTGGCTTGCGGTATTTCAAGCTGGGGAAGGCAGCTGCGAATACACCCTTTGTGAAGTTGCTGTTGACGACGATGGTGTCACTGCAGCCTGTGCTCCAGCTCTCCAGCCAGTCAAACGGGCCTCTGTACAGTGACTTCAAGATGCCTCCCTTCTTTGCTAATAGCTTATCCGGGAAGTGGCAGTAGAATATGACTCGGATGCCTGGCTGCAATATTCGGAGGAGGGGAATGCCAGCGCTGAGCTGATCGACGAAGAATGACGTAGGCTCAAGCTGTTGCAGCTCATTCGAGAGGACAGCAATCTGTAATATCAAGTGCACCTGGCGGAGGATGGCACACAGGATGGCGAAGCGGCCGAGTATTGTGGGCGGTACGATCGAGTTGCCGCGCACTTTCACAGTGAGGGTCCCTTTATGCGGAGGTCAAGTCTCAGCTATCTCTCTATATAAGCTTGGGGAGTCGCAAGCACAGCAGGACGCTTACCGTCGCACGCTTCGTCAAAGCAATGGGTGGGGTCGCAATGCGACGTGAAGATTGTGACTTTGTGCCCGCGATCCTGCAGCCCCACAGCCGCATCGACGACCAGCCGCTCAGCACCGCCGATGCCCAGGTCGGGGTGGAAGAAGACGACATGCTGTTTCTTGTTGGCCATGGTGCGTGTGTGTCCGCCTGCAGCTTCGCATCGTGTTGGGTGGAAAAGGCGGCGGCCAGACACGCCCTTGCCCGTTTTGGGATGGCCGCCGGAGACCCTGGGCGCGTCACCAGCTGGTGAACGATGACCTGAACGTGCCGCAGCACATGATCCTCGACTGGCAACGCGCGCCTTATCTCGCGCCATCGCTCCCGCAGCTGCTCATTTACACACACAAACGAACGCCCTCAATCTTGGAAGTGAATTCTGCACGGCACATGCGGCCGCTTCGTTGAGGACGCGCCCAATATGCGCGCTGGAGGCATCTACATCGCTGCGCTACACCTTGAAACCGACCACCATCAACCGCCACCATGGGTCAAGGCTTCTCCCTCACCACGCTGTCGGCCGGCTCAGCCAACATTGACGTGCCCGAGTTGGCCGACCTCCGCTATGAAAAGTCTCTCGGGGCCGCCCGCTTCATGAAAACGGTAAGAGCTAGGCATAAAGATGGCTTGGTCGTGGCCCGCGTGGTTATGAAGCCCTATGCCCAGTTTAACCTCGACCGCTATGTCGGACGTCTTGTCGAGGAGCGGAAGCTGCTTGCCGACGTGCCTAATGCTTTGGGCTATCATCGCATCCTAGAGACCGCCGTTGGAGGCTACCTCGTGCGCCAGTACATTCACAGTTCCTTGTATGATCGTCTGAGCACCCGTCCATTCCTCGAGGAGATTGAGAAGAAATGGCTCTCGTTCCAGCTACTTTGCGCTGTCCGCGATTGCCACGCTCGCAACATCTACCATGGCGATATCAAGACTGAAAACATCCTTGTTACATCATGGAACTGGCTCTACCTTACGGATTTTTCCGCTTCTTACAAACCACCGTTTCTTCCCGAAGACAATCCTGCCGACTTCTCCTTCTACTTCGATATGTCAGGCCGGCGTACTTGCTATCTTGCCCCCGAACGGTTCCTCAGTTCTGGAACTCTCCCTGAAGGCGAAGGTGTCATAACATGGGCCATGGACATCTTCTCTGTCGGATGTGTCATCGCTGAGCTTTTTTTGGAGTCTCCTATCTTCAGCCTGAGCCAACTGTTCAAATACCGCCAAGGTGAATACGACCCTGCACAGTTGCATTTGAACAAGATCCAAGACAAAGACGTGCGAGAGCTTATTATGCATATGATACAGTTGGATCCAAACTCACGCATGTCTGCTGAAGATTACTTGGAACACTGGCAAGGGAAGGTCTTCCCTCATTACTTCTATGGCTTCCTCCAGCAGTACATGCACTCAATCACAGACCCATCGTCCGGTCGAAAACCAGTGACCACGGTGAACGAACACCTTGGCGAGCCTGATGACCGGATAGAGCAAATATACAGTGATTTTGACAAAATCTCACATTTACTCTCGAGCAATGAAGACGGTGTCCCAGAAAAGCCACAACACTCTCCGCCGAAGCCGAACGCAGGATTGTTCCCTCTATGCATCGACATTCCGAACTATCAACATCAGGCTTCTCCGACACCAAGCCTAGCTGTTGATGACGGAAATCTCATATTTCTCACCATTGTTGTATCTTGTTTGCGAGGCACTGCGAGAGCCTCAGCTCGATTGCGGGGTCTCGAGCTGCTCCTAGCTTTCGCTGAAAAGCTTACAGATGAGGCAAAGCTAGATCGCGTCGTTCCATACGTAGCAACGTTATTGACGGACAGGTCGATACAAGTGAAAATTGCGGCTTTACGTACAATGACGCAAATACTTGACATGGTCCATGTCGTATCACCTATCAATGCTTATGTCTTCCCGGAATACATTCTACCTCGGTTAGAGCGGTATCTACCACACTCTTCCACTACGGTCAGCCCTCTGATTCGTATGCACTACGCATGGTGTATTGGGACTCTAGCGACTACTGCGGCGCGATATCTTAATATCATCCAAGCTCTCCGTGCCGAAGGCACTCTAACAGCGGCATCCCGAGAGACAGAAGAAGAACTCACATCCTCTGTTAATCGAAACCAATTTGACTCGGACCGTCAAAACCTACTTGAAGCATTTGAAAAGCACACGAAATCACTACTCGTAGACTCCGATTCGTCTGTCCGTCGGGCGATGCTTCGGTCAGTGGCCGAGCTTTGCGTTGTCTTTGGAAGCCCCAAAGCCAACGACGTCGTGCTGAGCCACTTGAACACCTACCTAAATGATCCGGATTGGATGCTCAAGTGTGCATTCTTTGACGCCATTGTTGGTGTTGCTGTCTTTGTGGGCGGAGCCAGCCTAGAAGGCTATATTCTTCCATTGATGGTGCAGGCTCTTACGGATCCGGAAGAGTTTGTGGTGGAGAAAGTCATTCGAGCTCTGTCGTCAATAGCGGAACTCGGCTTATTTCAGCGCTCCAAGACGTGGGAGTTGGTTGATATCGTAGCTCGCCTGACCATGCACCCTAACATTTGGATCCGAGAAGCAGCTACACAATTCATTGCGACTGCCTCGAAGTACCTCTCTGTTGCTGACAGCCACAGCATTCTAGTAAATCTAATCAGGCCTTACCTCAAGATTGTTCCCTCAGATTTCACTGAATTGCGCCTACTTGATTCGATCAAAAAACCCTTACCGAGAATTGTCATGGAGATGGCATCCAACTGGGTTACACAAGCGCAAAAAGGGCTCTTCTGGGTGCCTGCTAAGCAACAGCAGACCTTCTCCTTTGGGTCATCGGAAGATACTTTGCCAACGATATCTGGAAGAGAGTTGGATGCAAAAGTCTTGCAGAGAATGCAGAAGACGGAAGAAGATGAACAATGGATACGAAAGCTGAGAAATGCGGGCTTGACACCTGACGATGACTTCAAACTGGTCGCGCTACGGGAGTTCATATGGAGGGTAACCCGGCGTCGACGGTCAGACGGCTTGGCACCCAGTCCTTCCAAATTCAACAGCTTGGTTGCTCTTAAAGACTTGGATATCATGCCTCACACTGTCCTTTTCGAGAATGCACAGAAGACGGTAGATCAAATACGCCGCGCGTCTAAGTCAGATGATGGGTACCAACCAAGAACGATTGCAGACGCATTGTTAGATGCTTCGACGACGGAGACTGAGGTACAATCGGCTCGAAGAACAGTTCGAGACGGCAGTCAGACTACTCGATTAGCACGAGAAGAGCACACCCATCATCGTATCTCTATCCCCTCACGATCAAAACTGGGCTCCTCAACAAGCCCGTTCCGCTCGGGACTGGATTCACCATCT